AAAGTGACAATCTGACTCAATATGCTTTGTTCGTTCATGAAACACTGGATTCTGCGCAATATATAACGCAGACTGACTATCACAATAAAGATGCATCCCATTCTCATGTCGAACACCTAAATCACCAAGTAATCGCTTCAACCACTTTAATTCACAAGTCGTTGCATTCATACAAAGATATTCTGCTTCCGATGAAGAAAGGGCCACAGTAGGCTGCTTCTTGGTTTTCCATGATACTAGAGACAAACCAAGAAGCACAAACCAACCACTCAAGGATCGTCTAGAGAGAGGACAACCTGCCCAATCTGAATCACACCAACCTTCCAACTGTAAAGCACTATCAGATCTCAATAAAATGCCCTGTCCCGGACTCTTCTTCAAATATCTAACAACTCACAGAGCTGCTTCCCAATGGTCAATCCTGGGTTTTTGCATAAACTGTGATAAAATGTGTACAAAATATGCTAAATCGGGTCTCGTAACAGACAAATAAATCAGACGACCTATGAGGCGACGATATTTCTTAATATCATGAAAATACTCTCCCTGAGATAAAGCTAACTTGTGATTTTGTTCCATAGGGAACTCTGCAGGTTTAGCATCAAGCAAACCAGCTTCAGTAATAATACCCAGTGCATACTTCCTCTGACAAATAAAAATTCCATGTTTATTCCGGGCTACCTCTAGCCCCAGAAAATATTTCAACACTCCAAGATCTTTCATCTTGAAACAATCTCCCAGATACGATTTAAAATTGAGCATAGCATTTTTATCATTGCCTGCAACAATTAAATCATCAACATATACTAACACATTAAGCTGCATTTTACCTTTTATCAGAGTAAATAAAGAATAATCATAGTATGACTGTTTAAAGCCATAATTTTTCAAAGCTGTAGCGAGCTTTGCAAACCAGCATCGAGGAGCTTGTTTAAGCCCGTACAATAATTTCAGCATCCTGCAAACTTTGTCAGAATTGTTTTTCTCAAAACCAGGAGGGATTTTCATATATACCTCTTATTCCAAATCACCATGAAGAAAAGCGTTATGAACGTCCATTTGATGAACTTCCCAATTTTTCACCGCCGCTACTGCAAGAAAAGTTCGAACAGTCACCATCTTCGCAACCGGAGCAAATGTCTCATTGTAGTCTAACCCTTCAACCTGATGATTACCGAAGATGACTAATCTTGCTTTTAATCTCTGCAAATTCCCATGCTCATCATCATATTTTTCTTTGTAAACCCATTTGCTTCCAAGTGCCTTTTTGCCCGGTGGAAGTTTCTCTAGCACCCAAGTGCCTTGCTCTTCTAGAGCCTGGATCTCATCCGCCATTGGTTTCCTCCAACCCTCGTGTTTCATGGCCTCCCTGAAACTTTTGGGTTCATTTCCACCTATAATAGCAGCAATATATGTTCTATGCTTCACAGAAAACCGGTGAGAATCAATAAAATGTGTTATAGGGTAAACAGTACCTGAGGAAAGTAATGTCGTAGGTGAACGCTGAGATGATGTAGATGGACTTTTATTTCTTATTGTGTGTGTCACAAAGTCACGGTGCTTCACATTCGGAAATTTCTGTCTCATGCCTTTACCCAAGGCTTCGGTCTCACTTGAGATGTTACTTTGATCACCCTGCTGCACAACATTCTGCTCACTTAGAGCAGTTTGCTCACTGCCATTCTGCTGCCCATCATGCTCTTCTATGCTGCTGCACTCATCTACTGCACCAGAGCGCACGGAAGAGGGGCTGGCAGGCTCCTCCGCAGCCTGGTCGCGGCCTGTGGGCTACTGCCGCAGCCCAGCCGTGGTTCCCCCTGCTGTCCCCGCAACACCATCAGCTCTCACACCCCTCGTGCTCCATATCATTGCCCTCACCATTCACATTATCTGCCACACACCACTCATCATCACTCACACTCCCAACATCACAATTCCCAACATCACGAGTCAACGAGGCATTCATCAAATCTTTGTTCATACTAGAAACAATGAACGGGAATTCACTCTCATCAAAAATCACATCCCTTGAAACAAAAATTTCATGGGTCTCTAAGTCATAAACCTTCCACCCCTTTTCTCGAAAGGATATCCTATAAATACACACTTTCGGCTTCGACTCGCAAACTTATCACCCTTAGTTTTTAGATTGTGCGCATAACACAAACACCCAAACACCCGAATATACTCATATGAAGGTGGTTTGCCAAATAACACATCACAAGGGGTTTTATAATCAAGCAATCGAGAAGGAGTTCTATTAATTAAATGACATGCCGCTTGCACACACTCCCCCCAAAATTTTACAGGTAAATTTGCTTGAAAACGTAAGGCTCTAGCAACATTCAAAATATGTTGATGTTTTCTCTCAACACGCCCATTTTGTTGAGGCGTGCCCACACATGAGGTCTCAAAATAAATCCCATTGTCAAAAAAATACTCTTTCAAGGAATTGAATTCCGTACCATTATCACTACGGACCACTTTAATTTCTTGAGAAAATTGACGACGAACAATCGCAACAAAATTAAGAAACATATACTCAACTTCCGTTTTATTTCTTAACAAATAAGTCCACACACCCCTAGAGTAATCATCTACTATAGTAAAAAAATAATGAGCACCACGAGAAGATGGAGTCTTGTAAGGCCCCCATAAATCTAAGTGAACAAGCTCAAAAATTCGAATTGCTTTATTTTGACTCAAAGGGAAACTACTCCTATGTTGTTTTGCCCGAGGACACACATCACATGATTTAAATTTAGTACTACTACGACTCACAAATGGAAGCTGTTGAAGTACTTTACCCGAAGGATGCCCCAATCGTTTATGCCACAACTCTGTGGAATGATCCCCGTCTATCTTCATCGCCTTCACCATAGGAACACCCCGAAAATAATAAAGTCCATCTACTCGTTCACCTGCTCCAATCACGTTCCTCGTTGTGAGGTCCTGTATAACACAAAGTTTGTTAGTAAATTGCATAATACAATTAGATTCGTCACTCAATTGAGTCACCGAAATTAAATTGCAATTTAATTGGGGTACATAAAGAACATTGTCGATTTTTAAACCCCCTTGCAATATCACCGATCCAATTTTTGATGCGTTAGCATTTTTTCAATCCGGCAATCCCGCCGGACAATGGCTCACATTGGTCACATTGGTCAAAAGAGACAAATCACATGTCACATGATTCGAGGCCCCTGTATCTATTATCCAACCCAAATCATTTTTATCATGAAACTTGGATTTAATGGATGTCAAGTAGTCCAACAATTGTTGAACTTGAATCGAAGTCACTCCCGCAAGACCACCCACATCAACGTGTGCGGCCTTCACCAAATTCTGATCACCATCCATCAATGGAATCACAAATAATAGTCACTCACAGGTGCTTTGAGAAGAAAAAAAAAATTAAATGATGTTTGTGAACTCTCAGTATCTCTCAAGGTTATGCGTAATAATGAATATTACGTATAATTGCAATCTCTAGTAAATTATTGTTGGATCAAACCTAAGCTCTTGATACCATGATAAAATATAATGAATAATTCTCTCTATATATCTCATTCAACATAAACGGCCACATACAAGTATATATAGAATAGGAAACTTGGAGGGCAAGACCAAATAACCTAAAAGATATGCACAATATATTCTAAGATATATATCCCAAATATTCACAATATTATCTTTCCTAATACAAATAAAACAAGAGTAATTGTTAGAAGATAAACAAATGAAAGAAAAAGCACAAGTATTTAGCATTTAAATTAATTAGAAGATAAAAAAAAAAAAAAAAAGTACAATTTGGAATGGTATAAACATATATCTTTAAAGTAAAATTTAACCTATTACAACAGAAACAGTTGGTGATGCAAGTAAAAGGAATTTCCGACGTGAGTATAGTATCTCCAATTTGGCATTATGGTTTTCCACATCCCACGCATTGGCTTTTACGATAAGATTAGCCACGTTACTAAATATTCATTCAAATTGTGCAGTTATTATGTTATGTCTTAATTATCGTTATATTCAAAGGTGGAAATCATGAAAATCGATCCAACTTTGACGAGATGCTGATGTGATATCCATTACTTGATTGCATCACTTTTTGAATGCTAATCATTAAGGATAACTTATATCCCATTTTTCTTTTATCTCAAAAACTTCTTTTTTTTTTTCCCTCCTTCAACCTAATCTTAAGTTTTGCCGATAAAAGAGCAATAATATGCCAAAACTTGTTATGCAACACATATGATTATGGTGGACGTAGGCGCAGAACTTAACTTGACACATAATGGACAAATCAATGTGCATACAAGCTGTACAAACGAAATAGGCATAGTTTCATGTGTAGTGTCCGTCCAAAAAAAAGTTTCATGTGTAATTGACAAGAATAATATTAGTAACTTCGTTTTTTTGTAGATAATCTTTTACTCCGTAAATTGCTTATTATGTTATGATATTATCTGAGAAAGTCTTTTTTTTTGTAAGAGCATTGTAAGACAATGCCAACATTTGACCTTATAATGAAGATGGTCTTTATTAATTTTAATTTTTTTTTAAATAAGTTTCTAACCTCAACTTGTACAACAAAAATTATTCTCTTACTCCTTATATTGAAAGAAGAATAGAGGATGCCATATATTTCCAAAAAGTAAAAAACCCTGTCCAAAGCCCAAAGGAAAGCGTAGCTACGCACACAAATTAAAATAGGCTTTTTGTTTGGACTTATATACTTCGTATGTGGGGTATTGGTATACACTAGACCCTAGTGTAGGTAGCCCAACCTACACTCCCTCTAAACGCAGCGTTTAGAGTTACTACCCACACCCCCTCCACTAACCCACAATAATTACCCACTCCCCACAATAACCGCAGTAACTGCATAACTAACTTCCCCTACCCCACATATATATATACATAAAAAAAATAAAAAAAATAAAAATCAATTTCAAATCATTCTCTCTCTAAACACCATCTTCTTCATTTCTCTAGAGTTTCTCTCTCATCAAACCCAACGAATCGGAACAAATTTCAATTTAAATCACTGAAAAATTGCTTCAAAATACTCCAAAATTGCTTCAAATGTCTGATATTCGAGAAGAAATTAAACAATCACAACAAAAAGAGTAAGTAATTTCGTTAGTTTTGTTCATTTTTTGAGATTGTAGTGCAATTTTATGTGTGAAACCTTAATTTTGTTCATTTTGTTGCGATTGTAGTGCGATTTTGCAAAAAAACCACTACAGAGAAGAACATGCAAGAAGAAACTGCAAAATCGGAGCAAAATGTATCTAAAGAGTAAGTAATTTTGTTCATTTTCTTTCGATGACAATTATAGTGCGATTTTATGTGTGAAACCTAATTTTTGTTCAATTTTTTGCAATTGTAGTATGATTTTGGAGAAGAATACTTCAGAGACGAGTAATTTGTTGAAAATTTCTGAAGAAACGTATGAACCCTAACTTTTGTAAAACCTAATTTGTTCATATTCTTGCGATGAAAATTATAGAGCGAATTTATTTGTAAAACCTATTTTTTGTTAAAATTTTTTGCGATTGTAGTAATTGTTCTAAGATTTTACTGAAAATAACTAAAACATTAACAATTTATTAAATAAAACAGAGACGATGATGATGATGTACCTCTTCAGTCAAGAGTAGACAAATTGAAAAAAAACCGCCAAAATGATCCAATTGTAGATCCGGAACTTTTAAAAGATATTGACAAGTCAATTGGTACGGATTTAACAATGTCTCCACTACCAAGGTAATTAGTCATTTACAGAATATATTATGTTCATGTCTAATATGCTAGTTGTATTTGATAAAAATTGGTTTTATCTTTGTTTAATATGTTATTTGTATATGATCATATTTGATACTCATAATGTTCATTTATAGATATAGTTATGATCATATATTTATATTTGTTCATATGAGTATTTGTTGAGATTTAAGAACAAAAGTACATTTCATTGAAACATCATTGTATATGATCATATTTGATACTCATAATGTTCATTTATAGATATAATTATGATCATATATGTATATTTGTTCATTTGAGTATTCATTGAGATTTAAATAACAAATGTACATTTCATTAAATCATCATGCACATATATAAATATGATAATAATCATTTCAGTGATATGCATTCAAACTAATGTCATGTAATTAATTTATAATGTAGTGATGTGCCATTTAGAGTGATACACTTGCTTCAATTTAGAGATGGGAAATCTGAACCATTAACTCTAAAGAAGGTTATAGAACAAAATGAATATGGTAATAGTTATGAAAGATACACTTTAAACAAGTAAGTTTATATGTATAAAATAATTGTTTTTACATTCAATTATTGTACATTGTATATATATACCAAACTTATTAGGTAATTCTTAAAATTTTAGTGAAAAAAAAAGGTTCGAGTGAAATTTGTTATGTCAAAATCAAGACCACCAGAGACAAATCAAACAATAAGGTATAAAAGCTTTATACCAAAATAACTAATTATCTTCTTCATTGTATAAATTAGTTCATACTTTAATATCATATTATATAAAATAATTCTGTTTTTTTTTAAGTGAACAAAGTGAGAACATTCCTGCTACTAATGCAACAACTAAGAGTGTGTCTGCTACACATAACACAACTGACAAAGAGAGTATGGATGAAAGGTATACTAATGATCAATTTTATATAAACAAATGTTCATTTTTATAATAGTATATTTTGTGTACAATTTATGTGCATTTTTTATTAAAAGTATTTCTTAAAATTGATTTCAGCAAGCAAAAACAAGTTCAGCCAGAAGAGCAGAGCAATCCAGACAGGAATACTCCTGAGAAAAAGGACAAAAATGAAATTGATAAAAGGTATAAATATATAATGTTCATTTCATTTTTGATAACTATCTATTTTGTGTACCATTTATTTCATTTTTATTTAAAGTATTTCTTAATATTGATTTCAGCAAGTAAGAAGAAGTTCAACCAAAAGTGCAAAGCAATCCAGTAAAGAATAGTCTTGGCCAAAAGTAAGAAAACTTAAATGTTCAATTTAGATAGACTATATGTTCATTTGAAAATCAGTACAAAAAAGTTTGCTCATGGCCAATAGTAATATAAGTTATATGTTCATTTTTTTTTTTACTAATCAAAATTGTAAATTCAAACATATTTTTAATGAAATATCAGAAAACCCAAAGATGATGCAAGAATAACAACATTAAAGGACAAGATGCAAGAAATACATTTAGACATAGAGAGAAACCCAAAGTATGTTTAAATTTAAATAATTGAATTAATTTAATCAATTAATGAATATATTTCAAAGTTATATAACAATATCATACATTTACAGGAAGTACAAAGAATCGACAATCAGAATTATGAGAAATCTCAAAAGAATGGAAAAGGCAAGCAAGGAAATCAAGAAAGGTAAATGATCATATTTATTGAATATTTTTGTTTAATAGTCATAAATATCAATTTTAACAATACTATTACTTTTGAAGGTGAAGCAAAAAAGAAAGAAAAAGGGCTAGTAGAAGAGAAAACTGTGGAAAAAGGTAAAAATTTTAAAATGTACATTTTTATTACAAAAAATGTTCATATTGGAAAAGCATAATATTAAATATTCAATAAGATTAAAAAAATTAAATTTTAACTAAATAAATTTTAATAGAAGGACAAGAAGGAAAAAAAGGGACTGAAAAAGAGAAAAGCCCTAAAGACAAAACTGTGGAAGATGTCTTTCCAAAGACAACAAATGTAGAAGGTAAAAATTTATAAATGTACATTTTTATTACATAAAATGTTCATATTGGATCTACATAATATTGAATGTTCAATAAGATTAAAAAAAATATAAATATTAACTAATTAAATTTTCATAGAAGGACAAGAGGGAAAAAAAGAGCCTGAAAAGGAGAAAATCCCTAAAGAGAAAACAGTGGAAGATGAGTCTACAAAGACAACAGATCCGAAAGGTAAATAGTGGAAAATGTACATATTCATTATCTGAAATGTTCATTTATATTGTATATAGTAAACATTTGTCATCCAATTTAAATAAATGTTTATTTAATCTTTTATATTTGATCATTTCATATGCAGCACAAATTGCACCTGATTTTGTTCAAATTGAGGATGAAACTCATCTTCTAGATCAAGATGATGATAAAGTTTCCACAAAACTTAGTGAGGAGACAGCTCCATCATCACAAAAAAGTGATCAGTCAACCAAAATGAAAACAAGATACAAAATGGTTGCAAGGAAAAACAAAAACAAAAGCCCTGTTGTTGTGCCAAGTGGTAGAATTACAAGGAGCCAAGGTAATCATAATACTTTTCTGTTTCACAATAAATATTACACTTTCAAATATACTAACATAAATTTTTTTAAAAACAATAGATGTTCTGTCAGATGAATCTGAAAAGGGAAGCCTGAAGAAGGATGTTGAACCTGCTAAAGAAACCGCAAAAATAGGACAGAAGAGAAGAATGTCTACAAGGACTTCTCCTATTCAAAAGGAAGTTGATGCACCACCTCCAGCACCTACTCCAATAAAAAAAATGGTAGGTGCTCCTGCTGAATATCCTCTAGACCAAGGCAAAAAGGGTAAATGTTCAATCTTAATGTATAGAATGATCATTTATGATGGTATATCATTAATGTTCAATTTCAATATATAGGTGGGAAAAAGAAAACTCCAGCGCCTACTCCAATCAGAAAAATGGCAAGTGCTCCTGCTGAATATCCTCCAGACCAAGGCAAAAAGGGTAAATGTTCAATCTTAATGTATAGAATGATCATTTATGATGGTATGTCATTAATGTTCAATTTAAATATAAAGTTGGGAAAAAGAAAACTCCAGAAGAAGTGAAGAAAACTTCTAAGGTTGCTGGCAAAAGAAAAGCAGGTATATAATGATATATTATAAATGTTCAATTTCTATATATAGAATGATCATTTGAGAAAACAATTTTGTTCATTTTATCATTTGCTTACTGTACATTTTCAATACTTAAACAAAATTATATATTTAATTTTCAGATGTCAGTCCTGCCAAGAGAAATGCTAGAAAGAGAAAAAAAAATACAAGAAGTACCATCAGATGAACCCTCTCAAGATCCTACTGATGAAAGTTCTACTGACAGTGATGATGATAGTGAAGAGTCAGTTTATAGAGCAGAAGCAGAGCCTGTCAGTGAGGATGATTATGAGGTGGAGGAAGAGGAGGAAGAGGAAGAAGTAAAGCCAAGGAAGAAACAGGCAAAGAAAGGGAATTCAGTGAAGGCAAAGGCTGAAAAGGAGGAGCAAAAGATGGTATTGTATGATGAAGGAAAGATTGAAGGTAGGGGAAAAAAGAAAATGAAAACTGAAATGGTTCAAGCAATGGAAACTGATGAAGTTGAGGAAATTCAGGAAGATGAATTTGAGGAAGAGAAATCTTCAAAGAGAGGAGGACATGTGAAGTTCATTGCATGGATAAAAAAGATGACATCTACCCAAAAACAACAAGTTGTTGATATAGGGTTAGGATCACTTCTTGACATTAGTTTACCTCAACTTGATCAAAAGTTCTGTAATTGGTTATTGGGAAGTTTTGAAGAAAATAGCCAGTGTTTTGAACTACCAAAGAATGAAAAAATAGAAATTGAGGTAGAGGATGTTAGGGTAGTTTATGGCTTGCCTACAGGAGAAATTCCAATTGTTGAGCCAAAGTCTGATAAAATTAGTGAGGAGTATGCAGAATTTCTAAAGAAATGGAGAAAATCATGGTCAGGAAAAACTCCATCAGTGAGTCAGGTATGATCAGTTTTAAATGTTCATTTTAAATACATTAAATGATCAAAAGTATAAATGTTTTGTTCATTTTGTTTGCAGATTGTGAATGGATACATAAATGATAAATTCACCAACAACAGACCACCAAGTGAACATTTCATTACTAACTTTTTAGCAGTGGCTGTGAACTGCTTGATGAAATGTGTATCAAACAATCAATGTCATTTCAAATTTCTTTATTCTATGATGGACAAAGAAAACATAAAAAATTTGAACTGGTGTCAGTTTGTATATGACTCACTTATCAAATGTCATGTTGATTGGAGAAAGCAGCAAGGCAAGGGGTTCTACAAAGGCCCTCTTCAATTTCTGATGGTATATTCTTAGATACAAAATGTTCATTTAAATTTAAATAAATGCACTTTTTTTTATTGTTTATGTTCTGTTCCATGTTTTCTTTTTTCTTGTAGTTGTTCTATTTTGATAGAGTTCAGAGGTTAGACAAAAGGCCTCCAAGAACAATTCCTATCATATCTGCATGGAATAGAGACATGGTTCTTGAGAGGTTGAAGATTGAATTAGAATTGGGATTTGGGAGAGGGAAAATTCTACCAAGGATTGCTGCAGAAGTTGAAGAAAGTCCTGAGGTTATAAAATGATCACTTTTGTTAACATAAATGTTCATTTGTATAATCTGAAATGTTCAACTGCATAATTTTTAATATTCATTCATATAGGTTTTTATGGATGATTTTGTTTCCCTGGTAAAAACAACTTGTTCAAACCTGTCAAAGCTTTCTTCAAAATTGGTGAAGGCAAAGGATATCTTCCCTGGAAATGACTTGGTGAAAAAAGTTGATGAAGTTTTAGGAAAGGTGGCAGCTAGGGAACCATCAATTCTAAGCCAAGATGAAGAATTCTTTGGCAGTGAGGATTTCCTAAATGCACTTGCACAAGCTGAGAAGAATCTGATGCAAGGGTCTGAAAAGCAAACAACTGAGAAGCAAATGACTGGGAAGAAATTAACCAAAAAGGGAAAGGAAAAAGAACAAGAATATGACATCAGAAAAGCTTTCAGCTTGGGGTTGACTCCACCTTCTCCAGCCATTGGTAAATTCTAACTAAAAGAGACTATATATCCTAATTTTTACATGAAAAATTCTAAATTTGTGGTCTAAATTGTCCTAAACAGAAACAGGGCCCACCTCTTCAACACTTGGTGATATAATTGAACAACCAATAATTTCAATAAATGGTAATATGTTCATATATTTAATAATAATGTACATAAACTTAAGTAGAAATGTTCATTTCTTATTATTATGTGTAAATACTATTAACTTAGTGTATCTCCAAAATGATGATTTATAATACAACTGGAGAAAAGGATGTGGGTAAAACTTCAGCAGCTTCAGAACAAAGAATTGAAGAATTTTCTAGAACTGGTATAATGTTCAATTAAAAAGTGTAAAATGTTCATTTACAAACAAGAAATATTCATTATTAATTGTATTTTTATGTTAGACGCAGCAACTGGTTCAAATTTTGATGCTGACACTAGGTCAGATAATGAAGGATTGCCTAGAACAGGTATAATGTTCAATTATAAATACTCAAATGTTCATTTACAAAGAAATAATATTATATCTAATTAAATTTTTTCTTAGATGCAGGATCTGGTTCAGTGGTTGATGCTGACCCTAGGTCAGATGGTGGTGAAAAAAGTGATGATCCAAAAAACACAGTTGGAGGTGGAAAACAAAACAAGGAAGATGTTTTTGAAAAAACAAAAAATGATGAAAAAGTGGAGGGGTAAAATCCTAAAGACATGTCTTACTATTAGGGTTATGTAATTAGTAAGGATAAAATATCTAGATGGAACAATTTAACTTATGTTACTATCATGTTGTAACTTGAAACTGGTGTTTCTCAAACTATTGTATGTGTGAACATTATTTTGTTGAATATGTAATATGAATGTGTGGTTTATGTTAAATCAATAGGTTTATGTTAAATCAATAGGTTTATGTTAAATCAATATCTTTCATTTTATGAATTGAAAATGATTCAGGGTGTTACATAAGAAGCTTATATTTTATTAATATGTACTGACATTGTTTGACTTTTCGTGAAAACAAGAAGATTGTTGCTTCATCCTCAAAAGTCACAAAAAGGTACATTATTTATATTAAGTAAATGTTCAAAAATAATAATGAACATTTTCATATACCTAAATGTACATTTGTGTTATGTAATATGACCAGGAATGATGATAAGAAAAAGTCAATTGCAGAAAAGAAGAAAAAAACTGAAAAGGAAAAGGTTGAAAGGTATAATTTCAAATTTATTTATATACACTCAAATGTTCATTTATGTTCCTCATAATTTTCTTAATTTAACAATATTTTATATTGAACAACAAGACCAAAACGCGAAAAGCAAACAATTCCTCCTGCTTTCCGATCTCCTTACTTGGTCAAGTACAAGGATCTGTTTAAAGATGAGAAAGCCATGAACCAAATTGCAGTAGACTTTGCTCTTTGTGGAAAAGATGAAAGGTAATTACTTACACTAATTAAACTTAAGGTTTAATATCTTTTATAAAAATATGTTCACATTCATATTATTAAATGTTCATAATGCAGTGCACTCTTATACTATGATGGCTTGAATCTCATCAATAGAAATGAAATGAAAACTCTTGGAGATAATGTTGAAGTGACAAATTGTGTCATAGATGGATGGGCAAGGTTTCTTAATCATAAAAAGCCGAGAAACAAGATTTATTTCTCAACAGTGCTTCATGTTAGTCTTTCTTCTTTTTTTATATTATTGATTCTATTTTCCTATGATAAATAATTGCTAAAAATTCATTTAACTTCTATATGTTTGTTTGTATTTCAACAGCACATTATGTGCACAAATAGAGTTTGTCGAGAAGGATCATCAATGAAGACAAGAATTAATGCCTTCATAGAAAGAATTGACAATGAACTGAAGTTGAATAAAATTGACAGCATTGTTGGATATAAACAGGTATTAATTCTTGTTTAATACAAATGTTCAATTACATTCAATATATTGTCCAATAACATTATATAATTTGTTCAGGTCTTCTTCCCAGTATCAACTTCTCAACATTTTTTTCTGTTGTGCGTCAATCATATAGAAGACAAAATTCATATAATTGACAATAGAAAACTACCAAAAGATGTATCAGTCCAAGCAAAATATGAAGAACAACCAAAAATGATGGTGAGATAATATGTTCATTTATATTTGGCTACATGATCAATTATATTTTATTAATTGTTCATGTCTTCATCACAATACAAACTTCTAAACAATTTTTACTCTTTTTTCTATCAGTTAAAAGGATTGGCATAATACATGAAACACCTTGGATATCAAGATGCAAAAAGAATTGAAGACTACACAGTTATTTTGGAAAAGATGAAATGGCGTAACAACAATGACTATACAAACTGTGGAGTTTACATTATGAAGCATATGGAAACCTTCACTGCTGATCCTAATGAGAGCTGGATTTGTGATTTAAAACCAAACAATGTAAGAGTTATAAATGATCAATTATTTAAGATATAATATTCATTTATGAAACAGTAAAGATTGTTTAATTAAAATTTGACAATTCATTTTGTTCAACAGGTGGAACAAATTAGAAAGCTAAGGCTCCAATACACAGCAGAACTGATGTTATTTGAAGAAAACACTGAATCAAGAGCAAATAGAAGGAAAGCTAGAAAATTTGCAACTTTGTAGTTTCAAATGTTCATTTACAACTATGTATATGTTCATTTCTTATATATGACTATTTTTTTTTTAAGAAATAGACTTATGGATTTTATTTTAATATTATTGTAATTGATATTTCATTTTAATCTTTGAATGAAAGTTTTTTATATTTTATTTTAATATTATTGTAATTGATATTTCATTTTAACCTTTGAATGAAAGTTTTTTATAAGTTTTATAAATTGGATGTTGGTTCTTACTTTTGTTCATATACAAATGACTAAATAATCATTAATAAATGTAGAATTTTAAAACATATAAAATTCTAATGACTAAATAATCATTGATAAATGTATAATTTTAAAAACATATAAAATTCTAATATAAAGTTCAAATATACTAAAAATAGTACTATATAAAATATAATATTTATGTCTTTTACATAATAGATCGAAAATTCAAAATTACAAAATAGTAATTAAATCAACATTACAAAAAAGTCTAATGTTTATAAAGTTCTGGAATACAAATTATTTATCTTTATTAGCCAAACGTTTAGCTACACTTGTATCAAAAAAGGCTAACAACCTATCATACTTAGAAGAAATCTTTTTAGAACCTAATTGAACATTTCTTGATTGAAGAATTGGAACACGAGCACCTTGATCATTTCTTTGAACTGTGGGAGGAGTAACTTGAACATTCTGAACACAAAATCCTTGATCATTTATTTGAACCGTAGGAGAAATAACTTGAACATTTGTTGATTGAACATTCCTGGAGTTGGATATGATCATTTCTGGATTGGTGTTTGAACAATTCTGAGTTTGATTTTGAACATTCCTGGGAACAGTAGGTTGAATAACAACAGGAGATTTTGTTGACGCACTAGTATGAATTGGAACTCTTGGATTAATTTGAGAGTAAGTTTTAACACCAGAAGCACCTTTATTTGCACCAACATTAGAACGAGCTTGAACAACAGAAACACCTTCAAGATTTAAATCCTTCGCCTTTAAAAAAAATTAAATTGATCATTAATAAACCAGTATATGATCAGTTACAAACACTTATACAAACAAATATGGAAAAAAAAAACCTTAGCAATAGATGAAATATCAACATCAATAGATATGCTAGATGAAAGAGAGCTTTCACCAGTAGCCTACAAAAAAAACCAAAAAAAAATATAAAAAATAAAAAATTAAATAAAAAAAAATTATAATATAGATCATAAATGCCAAAAAATAAAATAAATTTATAATCAATAACAAACAAACATACCTGATCAAAATCATTGGAAATACTATGATTTGATTCCTTAGAACTAGAAGGAATTTCTTCTACAACAGCTGATTTTAAGCCGACCTATATTTTTAAATTATACAAATCAATATTAATAAAATATAAATAAAATGTTTTTTTGGCACATTTGAATTTACCTGAGCCCGTTTATTGCTCAAAACAATCAATTTAATGGGATCACTAATAGAATTAGCATAAGTAACAGCACAACCGTTCTCATCAAGTTCCTATTTAAAAAAAAAACATAAATGATCATTTACGAAAACTGAAATGATCAATTTGAAAATATGAAATGATCATATACCCGTACAACTGCTTGCCCTATACCCCTTTTGTAAGGAGTGTACAGAGACTTTTTCCTCTTGAAATTACCCTTTGCCTTGTTACACTGCTTCTCCAAGGTACTCTTAGGCCTTACATTCCTCTCACCTTTAGGCCTAGCTTTTGGAGGATTCTTGATCTCAAGATCAACAATTTCAACCTCTTTAACAGGTTCACTAAAGTCAATTACACCTGATACACTCTCAACCTTTTCTTTTAACAGATTGAAATGACACTCAACCTCTGCCCTTGCATTCAAAGAATTCTGACAACTTGTTATCAACTTAACAAACTTTCTGATTGTTTGTGACCTCCAAACACTAGTAGCCACAACATTTGTCCTCAAAGTAGGTTCTTCAATACCATGACTACACATGGCAGCCTTTGTCCATCGTTTCATTATATACTCTTGTGGAATATTACGCACACAATGCAAATGATATACTCGAAGAGAATGAGAACAAAGTAAACCAGTCTCACTAAAGTACATGCATGTGCAACAAATTGCATGTGTTTCCTTATTAAAAACAACTTCATGCTTAATTATATCCTTCCCAGGCCTCCAAAGAAGATATGAATATTCTGGAAAACGCAAACCATTATCAACATGATCATAAACTGTCCCCCTAATGAACTCCTCTTCAAAAAGAACATAAGCTTGAATAGTGTACAATGATCTTGCATGAACTAATATACCAATATTAGCAAAAGCTAGGTGCCCCTTACCCCTCAGAGTATTGTAATCTCTTGCACCTTCCTTACTTCTCCACTCAGAAATGGCATCAAGAAAAACATGATAAAAATCACATAAACCTTGAGTCTTATTAAGACGTTGTGAAACTGACTTATTAGTAGTTTCACTACGCTGAGAAGACAATATACCACCATACCAATACTTCTTAGAATAAGCAGGACACCACATTTCCTTTATTTTATACAAATCACATAACCAATCATCATTTTCACATTTGTATTTATCACACATCCTGTATAACAGAAATGATCATATATTAATTTAAAAATGAACAAAATATAAATTAAAATATGTACATTTGTATAAAGAATAATGATCATAAACAATATGGACACTAATAATATTATGATAACATACATAACAAAGTAAATTGTATGATCATATGTAAAACACTAAATGTTCATATATATATCACATAATAATCAAATATATCACATAATAAAAATAAAAAATAAATACAAAAAACAATAATTTACCTTTTCCAGAAATATTCAAATTCAACAGGAGTTTCACAATACTTCAAAAGATATCCAAACAAATCTGTAAAGCCTTCCAAAGCTCTCAATGCTCCAATGTGTTTCTTAGAATTTTGTTCAAGATGCCATACACATAAACGATGATGAACAGTTGAAGGAAAAATGTTTCTTATACCCGCTGCAATCGCTTGTGCTTGATCAGTCATAATTGTAATGGGACTTTTCCTCCCCATTGAGTGCAAAAATGTATCAAACAACCAATCAAAAGACTCGGTGCGCTCATTAAGAATAAAACTCATACCAAACATGACATTGTTACCATGATGGTTCATCCCAACAAATGGAGCACATATCATTCCATATTTATTAGTTCTATAAGTTGTATCAAAAACCAACAAATCTCCAAAGTAATGATAATCTCTCATCATCCTACCATCACGCCAAAAAAAACTAACTAAAGCACCACTATCATCTTGTTCAAAATCATAATAAAAATTTGCCTCATCCACATGTCTCTTGGCAAAATATTTAATCAATTGGTTACTATCACATCCTTCAATTTGGGCAGCTTTTTCAGATGACAATGCATTATAAGCATCAGAAGCAGTAAAACAAAGATTAGGAGATCCCCCAACCTCCTTCTTTAGAACCCTCAAAGAATCAGTAACTTTGACTCCACTCAATTTCATTGTTGAAATGAAAAGAAGCTGCTCTTTATTCACATCTCTTTGAGACCTTATCAAATGCCTTTTTTCAGGAGGAATCATAGCATGATTATGAACCATTTCATGTCTTGTACATGTATAGACCCCTAAATGATCAATATGAAACTGCACAAAAGCTAAACAACCAGTTCGATGATCCAACTTCTCATAAATCCTTTTATTCTTACACTTATTATCTTTGAATCCCTCATTACAACAAACAAATCTTTTCATCAAAAAAGAATCATCTCTTCTTCTCTTACTCTTCCCAATTCGAATTCCAAAACCTTTCCTAAAAGCATATTCATTATACGCTTCGAAAGCTTCATCTTCAGATTTAAATTCTTTATCCTTTAATTCAGACTGTTCTGCTTCTAAATACATAATATCATCATTTTTTTCCATTGCACAATATACAATTATAAATGATCATAAAGAGTTTCATGAATGAACAATAACAAATAAGTAAAATGTTCAATATCAAAACAGCACATGATCAATTGCAAAAAGAATTTCAGCACATAATATTTTGAACAATATTTTCATTATTTACCACTACACATAATGTCGATATAAAAATGTAAAAATAAATTATCAAAAATGACTTTAAGACTGAACATAAACACATTAGTAAGTATGAATAAGAAAACATAAACGATTAATTGAAAGTATAATCTACAAAATATACAACAAAAACACACAATTCTAAAACACAGAGAAAACAACAAATGAAACAACAAATGAAGCAACAAAATGTTCATACAAAGTATAACAATCCAAAAACGTTCATCATAATGTAATCAAAGTATTAAATTCAAAAATCGAAAGTGAATAATAATACATCAATTAAGTTCAAATTAACAGAGCATTATAACAGAACAAATTAG